GGGGAAGACAACCCACGCAATGGGTCAACGTTGTAGAGGACGTATGGAAGGGCCTCGACATCGACGAAGATGAAACGCTGGAAACGGAGGGTCTACAGGGGTTCAAGGAGAAGATATTTATTGCTTGTGCCGAAAGAGAAGCACAGAATAAGAAGGAAGAAACCGAGGATAAGGAGGGTCTAGAAGTGAACGGAAATGTTGAAGGAAGGAATAGGGTTCAAGGACTACCTACATGGACCAATGGATGCAGGAACAAAGCTTAAGGTCAAATTCAGGACCGGGGACATAGGCCTTCGAGAACATCGACGAAGACATAGGACGGTAGACGACGAAGACGACAAGTTTGAATGTGATTGCGGCTTCGAATGCGAAGACCGTGTTCATGTATTCGCGGAATGTCCGTGGTGCAAGAAGGAGAGGGAAGTGTACGTGACTGAGCTGGGAAAAATAGATAGGACGTACAGGGAGATGTTTGAGGCATGGAATAGAGAGGAAAGGACGGTAGCTGTACTGGGGCATAAGAGGTGGGTTGAAAAGGCGGGAAGGGATCTCGTTAGGATAGACAGACTAGGGAAGACATTTTTGAGCCACCTTTGGCAAAGTAGAAAGGAACGATTAGCCATCGGTGATCGGTCCTGTGGGAACAATGCTTCGTCCTCTCGAGGACGCGTGGTCAATGGTCTAACCGCTAAGGCATGCAAAACATAAGAGTACGCCCCCCCCCCCCATCCCGCGGGGTTTATACATGCGTCTTATGTGCATACACCACAACACTACAGCTGTACATTAGATCTTACATATGCTCCACAATTGGTGGTCTGATTTCCAACATTTCGAAAAAAATGCACAACAAAGCAGTTGCGGTACCGAAAATTGGCGGCGTCGTTATGCTTTTGTCATGCCAAGAGAGAGATCCTTCCGAAAAGTCAAAGTCATCATATTTTGGCATCCTGTTAGTCGTGGAGTTTTGTACTTAAAAGTAGTCCAATTCGGGCCAGAATCGCATGCGACCCTACTCTACATACGCTGAAAAGTGTAGTTCACGTCTCACCACGAAAAATGGGGGGACTGACGCCATAATAAATAGCACGAAAACACACACACAACTCATCCGCGGGTCGAAGCATCGAAAAGTCGATCCTTCAGCCAGGATCCGCCCTCGATGATCGAGCTGCAAGTAAGGCAAATCACTATGCGGGAACTNGGTCTTGGCAAAGGCACCAATCGACTCATCGTTGCTATCGCCAACCACTTGGCGCACGAAGCTTGTTGCCGGGGGAATTTTGAACATCCACCAGGGCCAATAGGTTGGGATCTCTGCGACAACGATAGTAGTGAGGGTAATTCTGTTGGGAGTGACGAAGACGAAGGAAAGGGAAAGGGGAGAAAGGAGGATGACGACGATGGAGCAGAAAAACATGGAGGAGTGGAAGAGAGCAAAGGGTTTGAGCCAGATGACCTTCCCCACAACAAGAAACGTAGGGCTAGGGAAGAACTGCCCAGAGATTCTTCTTGTCGAAATGAGGATCAGAATGATGGTAGCGAAAACAAGGAGGACACTGGTAAAAGTACTCCTAAACGAACTCGAGTACTAGGTAATAACCTTGGCAGACGCGTGCATTTTTCGTCTGTTGCTGCTGTTTCTGTTTTTGATCCGAAGGATAGCTTAGCCTCCCCCATGCTGCCCCCTCACGGGGTCCCAGTTCATGGTAGATAGAAGTGTTTTGTGTTTTCAACCGCACTAAGACTGACGTCTTTTCATTGGTCAGCCGGTTAGCGCGGTCGATGCTAATAATGAAAGCACACACACAACGCACAGCGTAGTTCCATTTTTCACCCCTTGTTCTGCACATGAGGTTCGCGGAACACATAGTCGTTTTAATCATGAAGTACCTCGCAAACGTCTGTATAAGGGGCAAGCAGCTGGGGACAAAAGACACTGTTGCTGTAGATAGTCCTCTTTCTACGCACGGCAACGAGGAAGAAGTCACGCCGCGATTGTACAGAGTACAGTATGCGAAAACAACCGCAGGATATGTGTAGGATTTCAGACACGCAACCTTTTCATTTCGGAACACTACAGAAGTAGTCGCAGCAGCTGATCATCCTGCTGTACAGCAGTTCAGGAGGCGGCGCGGAGCCTGACCCCTACTTCGCCACGTTCAGATCTAGTGTGCCCAAGCTCTACTGCTGTAGATCCCCTTTCTCTCACCAGCTGGCGCGCCTGCTCCTGTAGAGGCCTTGCGCTCTCGAACTCCAACACTCTCTCGCGCAGCCTGTCGTTCTCGGCTTGTAATTCCTCAACGATACCGCCGAAACTGTTGCTTCTGTTGACCACCGGGATCTCCAACGGCTGCTGGGAAGAGTAGTTCCGGAGGTCTTCCGGCGGAATGCTCTGCTCGACTAGGTTGCAGATGGCTCCGAAGAAATCCAGTGGGTCGCCCCCTGCGAGCAAGGTCTTGTTGCCATCATCGTCCCCTGCTGGCATCATGTGCTGCTGCTGCTGCTGCTGTTGGCCCGCTAGCCCTCCGATGATACTCTCAACGGAGAGGGGAGCACCCTCGCGTGACCTTAGCGACGCACACCGAGCCATCTTAGGTCGTGCTGGTTAGCCCCCAGGAGAGGTCCCTCGCCACCCAAGCGCCCGCTAGTGGCTGCCCTTTGTCTGCTGTCGCAATGAACGCACAGCAGTCGGGAGAGCGGATAGAGCGCGCGCCCCCGCCGGACACACCTGTAGCGAGGGGTAGACCGACCTTCAGGCAAAACGTAACGTGCAGATAGATGTAGAGCCGCAGTTGACTTCCTTCCCCGGTGCTATCAGAAGCAGTCTCTCTCGATCGGTAAAGCAGCTTATTCCTCCAGCGTGGTCTCTCCTCCGCTCCTCGCCTGGCTGCTGATGATTTCCTTGATTTCCTGCTGCCTCGTTGTTCCAAAAAAACCGTTGGTACTACCCCTATTTGCACGCCGCACTTGCAAACAAGAACGTGCACGCCAAGAACGCCTCCAGAACCACACACTCAGAAACCCATTTTCAAACTCAAGACAGCTGCGTACAACACGCCAACACACCACAGCACAACACCACCGCACCAGGCCGAACAGCACGCGCAAAACAGGACCACAGCAGACAAACCACACAGCAGACATGTCCATCGCGATGGTAGTTGACGATGTGCATTCGGAGAGTAGCAGCGCCGACATGTGGTCGAGCGAACGGCAGCACCAACGGCAGACCGCGGCGACCGCAGCAGGCGAGCAACCGGAGACCGCACCAGGAGAGACCGCACCAGGAGAGGTTGCAGAGGAAACGGTGAGGACGGCAAGCGTTGAAATTGTGTCCTGTAAGATCACCTTGGACGACATGGAGTTAATAAACTGCTGTGTCGCGTTTGGATGACGCCTTCTTCACGAACTAAAATACTGGTAGATACTGCTACTACCGTATGGATACTACGCTGTATGGATGGCTGTATGGATATTATATGATTTCTATGTGTACAAGGTTTTCGGCGGCTGACGCCACCACGCTCAGTGGATCGATTCCAAGATACTTGTCCAGTAAGAGCGTCGTTCACGTAAGAGTGTCGTTGTTGTGATGTTGCGTGTGTGTTTTTTTTTGCCGCAATGGCTACAGACGTTATTGTTCGGGTCCGAGGGAAGCGGATATTTCACCCTGTGGTCGGCGGGGAGACTTACAGATTTGTCACCAAAAGAGATTATCCCTAAACGCGGGTTTCCTTGCCTACGTTTATGGAGAATACACCTACGGGTGTGTGGTTCTGGAGGTCCTGCTAAGATTAACTCTGCGTATTTTCGTTCCTCTGACAAAACCTGTTGGATGTGCAATAAACACGGCTAACTCATCCACACGACCCGCCTGCCGTGCTCACCCATCTTGGACCTGTTATTTTCTGCAATGGACCCGTCAGGATGCCGTACTGGAAGTACTGTTGTCCAAAGAGGATGTGCATGCGGAGATATTTGCCTTTACGGGCGGGCAGCCGCAGCCGTACTGATTTGTAGCGATAGTTTCAAAGTGGTGGCGAAAGGTGTTGTCTGGGAAACTACGGGAAACCGCGGTCTCCCATATCGTGGCGTCGGTTCCTCGCGCCATGGAGGCATTGGGCTGCGGTTGGGCGCCGGGCAACGGAGCATGGAAACGTGCCGCAGCTCTGGGGAATATCGAAGTACTGAATCTGTTCTTGGATTGGTCCAATGACGCATGTGACCTGGGCGAGTGGGGTGAGTGGGGCGATGGAGTGTTCGCAGCTGCTGTGGAGGCCGGGCACACTGACGTTCTGAAGTTGTTGATCGCGGCAGGCTGCAATAAAGATCAGATGGGATTGAAGGCCTTAGAAGTCGCCGTAGAGTCAGGTAGTGCAGCCATTCTAGACTGCTGCGACAGCTCTGACCTACGTCGAGGCGAAGATGGGCTCATTATGGACGAAGAGTGGGCGGTCGCCGAGGCTATAGTAACCCCTCCTCTTCAAGTGGCGATGGCCGGCAGAGATTTTGGAATGGTACGGTCTCTTTCGAGATTTTTGCTGGCTGCCGGGGAAGCCGGGGGATGGATGGAAGCTGAAATTAGGCGCCATGCCAAAGATGGCGACCTGGAGATGCTACGATGTCTGGAGGAGATGATCATGTGTGAGGATGGGCGTTTTGAAGGTATGTTCTGGCGCACGTTCTGGATTGCGGCTCTATATGGCCGTTTTCGCACGGTGGCCCAATTGTTGACTTGGTGGTGGACAGACTGAGCTCCTCACCTGCGCGCTGTAACGAGCGGCCAGCAACTTGTCCCGGACGGCGTCCTCTTCATGGTAGCCAGACTCGGACATTTGAAAATGTTGCAGTCGTGCAAAACGCACTGTCCCTTGGTTTCCCGTGACTTCTGCCTGTATTGCGCTTCGCCTAACGGCTGGTCGCGTGTACCCGCCGACTCCGCTGGCGCCGGGCATGTCGATTTAGTGTTGTGGTGCCTCGAAAACGAGTGGAATTACAGTGAGAGTTGGATCGAAGCCGCTGCCAAGGAGGGACGTTCGAATGTCATTGCGGCGTTAGTGGGGAGGGGTTTCGCATGCCAGGTGCAACTTGAACGGGCGGCACCGTGTGATGTGGAGGGGGACGACCTCATGGAACGGTATATTTGTGCTCTTCCACGTTGCGAGTGCCATTAAATCTCCGTACTTGTTGTGCCGGTTGAACGTTTGCACCGTTTGAAAGTGGGGGGGGGGGGGGGGCGGGGGGGTGGTAGGTATGAGTGTATTTGCAGTTCGGAAACCTGTAGCGTTGTGATGTTGCGTTGTGGCCCCTCTGGACGGTGCCCCTGGCCGTGCGTATTTTAGTTTCTTTTGTCTTTATTCGTGTCTTGTGATACGTTTTTTTGTGCCGGGCTTGTGACCACGGGCTAGATTTTGGCGATGGGCTAATGTGAGGGCCCTCACCAACAACAAACAACTAAAACAGAATGAACGATTTTCTGGGCATCGGGCAAGGCTCACAGCTGCTGTGGCCTCCTTGAGGCAGTCTACGTAGAGAAATCGGCGGTCCTGAGGGGTGGGGCCGGTGTCCTTCAACTGCACGAGAATCGACGAGATGACTTCCTGCTGTGATTCGGGCACCCCATTGCGGCTCTCTCCATGTTCGCTTGCGACGTGCGGTCGACGTGCGATAGAAAATGAACAATACTGTCACAAATCTTGTCGCTTAATTATGTTCTTTCGAGCGGAATGATTCCACACCCCCGGTATCACCGATAGAAAAACACCCCATCACAGCTGCAAAAAAAACAGTAGAACAACCCAAAAATGCTTTCTGGTCACCCGTCACTGGGATATACAGCGGCGGTTGGAATCATAACACACGGGGTCGCCCCCCCTATCCCCGACTGCACGACGTCATTCAACGTAGATGTTTGTCCACGACCACAACTGACCAGAACCCGTTGTAAGCTCGACAAGGTTCAAGTGTGGTTGGCCTGCGCGCGCCTCCTATTCTTTGCCCCGCCGCATTCCAAGCTCGACTTCTCTTTCGTACCTTGACTTCTAACAGCTGGTTGGCGCACAGCTTGTGGGTTGCCCAGTACAGCCCCCTGCCCCGACGAAATCATCGCCGCGGCGTTCATGCTATTTTCGAAAGTCTGCACGATAGCACGCATAGTATCAGGGGGAACAAGCTGCACCCCAGAGCTCACGGCAGGTGGTCTTCTTCAACATCTCCACAAAAAGGAGCCGGCGGTCCTGACTACTTTGCCCTGTCTGCGCCACCCTCTGCAGCCTGGTCTCTATGGTGGCATTCTCCGGGATAGCTTGCCAAGTGTCACCCACCATTGCCGTGGGAGGGCGTACCTGGTCGTCTTTGGACGCGTCGCTGTTGACTAGCGCTACCATCCACTGCTTGCACTCTGGTGGCCAAGCCTCCAGTTCCCTCAGGCCCTGCTCTGTTAGCCAATGCCTGTTGAGTATGCCTACGTGAAATTTGAACTTCGGGCTCAAACGCATGGCCTGCCAAAAGTGCCGGCAACAAAGACCGAGTTCTTGAAGTGTGCGGCACGAGCAGATGTGACTGCCATCCTGCATGCTGCAAACTATGTACCGCATGACCCGGCCGTAACGGCTTTCCATGACTGCGGCGACCGTCTCCACGCCCACAATCAACTCGCCCAGGAACTCTAGTTTCGACGGTGCTTCGAAACGCTCGTCCCCCTCAAGCACGGCACCACCACCACCACAAAAAATCGCGGCGGCCTCCATCTCCATGGTCATGTACCGAAACGGCCACATCCCAAGTCCGAAACGGATCAGCGCCATGAACTTGTCCCCGAACCACACGTCGTCAACACCCGCCATCGCCACAGCAGGAAGGGCGAGCCGAGCGGTGCGAAGGAGTGCCCGATCTTCCTGCTTCTCGATCGCTCCTTCGAAGAATTCGAAGACGCCTTGCAGAGAAGTCATCGCGCCGCAGACTTTCTTCATGACCCTGTTGATACCTGGCGCGGTTACCAGGTGTGCGGGTCATGGTACGGTGGGTTTTACTGCATTGCGTTAAATGAAGCTACATTGCTGGACGATCGTACAATTTACGACAGGCGTAGATGGACGGCTACCGCACACTACATAGGCCAGTGGAAAAGGAGTTGAGGAGTTGGGTCGTTTCCACGCGTGGTGATCCCACGCGTCGGCGCGGTTGTCCTACGAGCACGTGACAGTGTTGTTGGGGTGCAACAACAAACAACAACGCGTGGCCGACCCCGCCAAGCAAAAACGCACGAAGCACAAACACGCTCAATACACAAGGGCCCACCTTCGACTCGGCTGGACGTGAACGACGAAACACTGAACGTCAGCACGGAGAAAGCCGCCGCCCAGCGGTGACGATCCTTGTACAAATGCCGCAAGTAGTTCTCCGCCTTCGCGAAGTTAATGCAGAGCTCCTCGAACGATTCCTCGAAGCCGGTCTCCGACAGCCGGCCGCCCATCTTCTGGAAGTCGTTGGTGAAAGCCTGTGAGTTTAGTGGGTGGCGGTGACGACAGCGTCGATGGCGGAAGCGGCGGAGGCTTTTTTTGAGACAACTGTGTATAATTGAAGTTGGGAGTGGGGGGCTATTGGGTCCAAAGCAGTCGCCTGCAAAGCACTTGCGTTTTGTCACAAATTGGGCGTAGTCGGGTGACAGTACTACACACTATCTCGCGAGATGGCCACGGAGGCGGTCGTAGCCACATGGTGCGCCGGTTGGTGTGGTTTGTTGCTTGCAGACCGTTCAAAGGAGGGTTACAGTCACCGAGGCTGGATGGTTGGACTTGTGTGACAACCGACACTCCACTTCATGGTAAAATAATCGCCAGGGTGTCGCAACACCAGGCGCAGAGCGACATGACACGGTTTGTTACTCGAACGACACACACATCCCCGTTACTCTCAGTCTCATCAGCACAAACGCAATATCGTACTCACAGCAAAATCTTTGCCCAAGATGCTGCCGAGCTTTTCCTTGACGTTCTTCCACAGGTGCCAAAGGCACCTCAGCTTCTTCGCCCCCTTGAACACCTTGTCCGCTGCTAGAGTACAGGCACCGTCGGCTTCTTGGATGAACACGTCCGGCCCCTCCCCTCCCCGCGTTTCCATCCATGCCTCCATCATCCACTCGAACGTCTCCGCTTGGGTGTCTGACCATTCCAAATTCTCTGCCGGCCATCGCCACTTGAAGAGGAGGGGTTGCTATAGCCTCGGCGACCGCCCACTCTTCGTCCATAATGAGCCCATCTTCGCCTCGACGTAGGTCAGAGCTGTCGCAGCAGTCTAGAATGGCTGCACTACCTGACTCTACGGCGACTTCTAAGGCCTTCAATCCCATCTGATCTTTATTGCAGCCTGCCGCGATCAACAACTTCAGAACGTCAGTGTGCCCGGCCTCCACAGCAGCTGCGAACACTCCATCGCCCCACTCACCCCACTCGCCCAGGTCACATGCGTCATTGGACCAATCCAAGAACAGATTCAGTACTTCGATATTCCCCAGAGCTGCGGCACGTTTCCATGCTCCGTTGCCCGGCGCCCAACCGCAGCCCAATGCCTCCATGGCGCGAGGAACCGACGCCACGATATGGGAGACCGCGGTTTCCCGTAGTTTCCCAGACAACACCTTTCGCCACCACTTTGAAACTATCGCTACAAATCAGTACGGCTGCGGCTGCCCGCCCGTAAAGGCAAATATCTCCGCATGCACATCCTCTTTGGACAACAGTACTTCCAGTACGGCATCCTGACGGGTCCATTGCAGAAAATAACAGGTCCAAGATGGGTGAGCACGGCAGGCGGGTCGTGTGGATGAGTTAGCCGTGTTAATTGCATTCCAACAGGTTTTGTCAGAGGAACGAAAATACGCAGAGTTAATCTTAGCAGGACCTCCAGAACCACACACCCGTAGGTGTATTCTCCATAAACGTAGGCAAGGAAACCCGCGTTTAGGGATAATCTCTTTTGGTGACAAATCTGTAAGTCTCCCCGCCGACCACAGGGTGAAATATCCGCTTCCCTCGAACCCGAACAATAACGTCTGTAGCCATTGCGGCAAAAAAAAACACACACGCAACATCACAACAACGACACTCTTACGTGAACGACGCTCTTACTGGACAAGTATCTTGGAATCGATCCACTGAGCGTGGTGGCGTCAGCCGCCGAAAACCTTGTACACATAGAAATCATATAATATCCATACAGCCATCCATACAGCGTAGTATCCATACGGTAGTAGCAGTATCTACCAGTATTTTAGTTCGTGAAGAAGGCGTCATCCAAACGCGACACAGCAGTTTATTAACTCCATGTCGTCCAAGGTGATCTTACAGGACACAATTTCAACGCTTGCCGTCCTCACCGTTTCCTCTGCAACCTCTCCTGGTGCGGTCTCTCCTGGTGCGGTCTCCGGTTGCTCGCCTGCTGCGGTCGCCGCGGTCTGCCGTTGGTGCTGCCGCTCGCTCGACCACATGTCGGCGCTGCAACTCTCCGAATGCACATCGTCAACTACCATCGCGATGGACATATCTGCTGTGTGGTTTGTCTGCTGTGGTCCTGTTTTGCGCGTGCTGTTCGGCCTGGTGCGGTGGTGTTGTGCTGTGGTGTGTTGGCGTGTTGTACGCAGCTGTCTTGAGTTTGAAAATGGGTTTGTGAGTGTGTGGTTCTGGAGGCGTTCTTGGCGTGCACGTTCTTGTTTGCAAGTGCGGCGTGCAAATAGGGGTAGCCAACCCTCGGGGCCCCGACGATGAACCGCGGCGCCCCCCGCGCAAGAAAACACATGACATCCTCCGCGGCAGCAGGATCGGAGGATCTTGTGTCTCTGGGTAGAGAGGCGATCATGCCCACTGACACGCTGAGCAACGATGATCTGACGCGGTTATATACGTGGGTGGACGAAATCAAGCTGTCGAGGCCGAAGCGTAACATCACGAGAGACTTCAGCGATGGCGTCCTTGTCGCAGAGGTGAGAGCTAAACACAGCTGACACGGCGGATACCGCCCGCGTAACGGTTGAAGTTTGACATGATGATGACCCCCGAGGCCGGCCCCGTCTGCATTTCAGCAGGTTCGTGCTGCCTGAGGTGAGTGTTGGGATTATGTGTGTCGTGGTGGCACATGTATGTAGACATGCCTCGATCGTTGTTACAGCAGTACTGCTGTAAGTCCTTTTTGGGTGTAGACGAGTCTACAGCAGTACGTACAGCACAGAAGACGACGACATTTTGGCCACCCCCCCCTGCTGGCAACACGCAGTAGAAACATCGTAGCCCCGGTCGTTGGGATTGATTTGCACATGATCAGATGTTGGAAAGAATATGGCACAGCTGTGCCCCTTGTTCGTTCATTTTTGCGTGGTGGTGCTGTACTACATCAGAGCCACAGCAGTTATTCACGCACAGCTGCCCGCTGTGAACTACTGCTGTACATAGTCTTAGACTAGAGGGCGGAGTACCAACATTGTTTTACTTGGTCTATCCGGGCCACCTCGCACGGAGCTGTGGCACAGTAAGACCATTCTTTTTGTTTCTCTTCCAGTGTACTGCATGATTAGAGCATGCCGCTCAACAGACTTTGCATTGTAGCTTCTGATTTTATCTATTTTCCCAAAGGATTGCCCTCGTCCTCCTGAAAAGGTTGTCAATAACAAGTCGGACTGCGAATCCGCTGTACAATCCACTGCCACCCACGGCAGCCTTCCAACTCACTGTTGTTGCCGATTTGGTCAACTCGCGCGACCATCCCAGGTCGTGGCGTTTTACTTCCCGAAGCTGGTCGACCTCCACAACTACGCTGCTGCAAATGCGGTGGGCCAGAAAACTTACAACTGGAACACACTGAACGACAAGGTAAGCCGCAAAGCCACAACAAACTACCTGTAGACGTAGCTGGAGAAACGCGTCGAATAAGACCCACCCATCCGGATCCCTGTGAACGATCCTTTCCTTTAACCCCAGGTACCTCCTAGCGATTGTTTCATTGTCATGGGGGGTGCATGATGGATTTGCGCTGCCCCTTGTCCCTGAGTCAACCATGGGCTTGCCCGGGTGGGTTCGCTCACACCACACACGCGCGATACTGTACGTCACGGTGTTTCGTCTTCTCCATTCGCGTGTACTTTGAATCCGCGTACTGGGTCCTGTCGTCCAACCTCCTCCGAACCCCCACCTTTAGGCGAAGCCAAATGATTTGAAGAAGTGCTCGCGTTCTTTGTCTCACTGTTGTGTAGACTGATGCGTTTTCATTGGGCACCCGGAAAGCGTGGTTGATGCCACGGAAACAAACACGCGTGCATCCACACGTCGCGAACCACCCGATAAGATGTAAATACTGGTGGGTCCTACACGCTGCAACGACAACGGGACCGGTACCGCTGCTTGCTGTCGTCCTTTTGTAGGCGAAGGTTTCTTACAGCCTAAAGTGGTGAAAATTGGGTGTGAGAGACAGTCGTGAGAACGTGAGGAAATGAGAGACAAACAACACAAGGAGCACATGACAGCAACAACAGAGGGAAAATCAGGAGGAGAACGGCTTCAAAGAAACTTAGCAGTATCCGACGTTACAGAACAACAGAAACTCTGTTCCATATCTCAACGGCTTGAGCTGGTTTTTCGGCTCAAACTAAGACAAGGAGCACATGACAGCAACAACAGAGGAAAAATCAGGAGGAGGACGGCTTCAAAGAAACTTAGCAATATACGACACTACAGAAAAACTGAAACTCTGTTCCACATCTCAACGGCGTGAGCTGGTTTTTCGGCCCAATGATTACGTTGCACATCATCTCCAGGCCCCACTTGCTAGTGTGTAGCCGTACTGTACTGTAGTATCGTTGCTGGGGACGACAAAGACCGCGGAATACAAAACTACTTCAATATTCTGCCGTCGTAATGGTCTCGTATGCTGTGGTCAATCCGCTCTCCGAACAAAGCCGTCTGCAGCATCCTATCGAGTTCTTCCTCCCCGTCAAGCCTGACTTCTGGGTCACTTGTGGCCCCCCAGACACAATAGTGACGGCTCTAGTACTCATACCCTACCCTTTGCCCGGACAGGTTTTGAAAAAGATGCAGTACCAAATTCCAAAGGCAGACGTGGACGCGGTGGTGCAGTGCAAGCCGGGGGCGATCGAGAAGGTGCCTCAGTCTGAGGTTCCAGGTTTTGGTATTGCGTAGAAACTGCGTATGTTTATGTTTATCAACCGGTTGTGCGCGAGATATTCATCTCGTCTATCTTCTTTCTCTGCATCAAAGTGGTTATGATTCTCTGCTTTCGTCCTGGCACAGTGAATGGCCGTCGTTGCGCACCGTCCCGCATCATGAAAACGACACTCACCTTATAATAGTAAGAAAACTACCGAGAATATCTCAGAGGAACAGCACGGTTGTCCGAGGCAAGCTTCGCTGAAAAACAGTCCACACAAGCGTGATCTCTTACACCAAGGCTATCCGAGCCTCCCTCGGTACCGTTTTGGTCCATCCATCATAGCTACAGCCAGCGCGATGACACCCCGCCCTGCCCTCCTCCCCACCCCTTTCCAACTGTGCCACGCACGCCCAACTACCCCCTGATACACCGCACGCTAAACTCGCTCCATACAGGTTTTGTACACGTTGCAGCTGAAAATGGCTCAGTATCGAGAGCGATCTAAAGCTGGCTGGGGGGCTTCTTCTTCTTCCCGAGCAGAGCAGGGTGCGAAAACCTCCGGCGGAAGCGGTGGTGTGGGGGTGGAAGTCGCCATGTCCCCCGAGGACAAGCAGGCGCTGGCGGACAGAGAGGAGGAGACTCAGGTATGGGAAACTTTATGAAAAGAGAGGACAAGTTGGTGAAGTAGGTCCGAATCTTGCGCGAAAGACGTGCTCTTGAAATGACGTCCACAACGTGCGCAAAGTAGGTAGACTAGAGCTCTAGCTGACGAGGCTTGGAGCTTGCCACATTAATCGACGAACGAGCGTGATTTTCTGGTGGGCTTCGATTGACTGTTTTGATATGCCATGAATCCGGTGTGTGTTGTAGGACCCGAACAAGTTCGCAGGAAGACGCTCGCATCGCCGCCGTTGCATGCAGAGCTACAAAAACTCGTACACCTCGGTGGCCACAATCCATGTTCCCAACGGAGCTAACTCTAGGTTCTTACGACAAGCATGCCAGCATGCAAGTAGACCAACGCGCGTAGATTGATGTAGGCTACACTGCAATTCATCGTTATGTAGGGTGTTTTTTTTCTTGAGGGGGGGTTGGAGGACAACTACTGTACGACCTATTTGTTCATCATTTGTTGCGCTATGCCTTCTCGCCGGAGTATTCTCGCAGACCTTCTGACATACCGTTTATTCTACGACACAACGTAACACACCCCCTGCAATGGACCGATTTTCAAAGCTTGATTACTCCACGAAGAGGATGCATAAACGAAATGATACATATTCGAAAAGCTCTCGACGAGACGGTTCCAAAGCCGCCGTTTTCGGCGCTGTGACTCTTCCTGCTGTTGAGAAATCGAGCTTTGGGAATCGGTCAAAGGGGTGTGTTATCTTGTGTCGTATACAGTAGGTAACCTAGGCGGTACCAATACCGAGTCCAACACATCTAACCATAATTCCGGACCCTTGTTGCCCGTGGTGGACGGTAGGAACTCCGGGAGACGAACGAACTACTCCGACTCAAGATCACCAAGCTCGAGCAGCTGCTGCGCCTCAAGGATGCAAAGATCCAGAGACTGACGGAAGCCTCAGAGGTTGGGGGCATGCTGCCATAGCCTTGGTTGCTCTGGCTTGCGCGTGTGTGCGTGGCGCTCGAGTCGGGACGGGGGATAGTGCACGAACGTGTTTCTTCATTGTTAGCATACCCACGTCATGTTGCCTTCCGCACTTCTACTGTAACATCAGCTTATCGGAGTGAGTTGTAATCCTGTCTCCCGGTTCAACTTGTGGGTATGTGGACATAACGACATCGTGTCATGGGTCGTTTCGCCGTGATGCAGGGCCAGTACCTGTGATTATTGCGTATTCGCTCATTCCTTGTGCTTGAGGCAACGGGCGTACCACACGAGTCAAGGAGGTGACAAATCGCTCGGGCCTAACGTTGACTGCCAGGCCCTCACTGGAGGAGGGGGTTAGACTTGCCGTCAAAGAACGCCATACGTAGCGTGTGCTGAGCTCTACGGGGCCCTTGGACTATGGCTGCTTCGTCCTGCAGCATGTAAATGGAGTATCAAAACGTGCGGAAGACTTGAGACGAGCACAAGGTCGGTCGCCAATACCACCGGCGTTTGCCGTACAGAAGTAGGTATTCATGTGCATACGGACGTGCGAGCTCAATGCCATACTTCCCCATACAACCCAGCTGTGTAACGTGTATTTGGGAGCACGACGTCGTACTTGAATGCGGTAAACACGGCAACCAACTACGCAATACTGTTGTCCATAGATGTGAGGGTGGTGGCAATATTCTACGTGCGCCCGAGGTACATGCGTTCTACATTTCGATAGCCTTTAACTGGGCCAGCTGACATCTTTAATGAGGGACTGCTTCCGGCCTCCGCAAGGAGAAATGCGTCAATAAACGCCGGAAACCACGCTAGACAACGGAAAACCAATAGCAACGCTAGGAGTGAGCACCTTGAGCGGTTGCAAACATCGGGCCACCGCAGTTCTACAAGCAGGACGCCTACACGTCATCCACCGCTGCGGCACGAACAGACAACGAAACAGGCGCAACCAACTCTTTTGCAACCAAAGGTACACGACAGGCAGTACTTATCATCTAAATCCTTGTGAGGGGGGGAGGGGGAGCGTGTAGCCCAACAACAGCTACATGCCGCCCCCGCCCTGCTGAGACTTCATCAGTCGCCCCAACACGAACTCGCTCGTGTCGAAGTATTTCAAGACTGTGGCGTTGATGCAGCTCTGCTCCGAGCTGGAGAGCGACGAGGACGGCTTCTGTATGCACTTCGTGAAGGCCAGGTCGGTAAGCCGGGAAACGATGGCCTGCATCTGGGCCTTCTGTTGCTCGACTTGCATCGCCGCCTGTACCAGAGAGAGGGTATACAGCAGCTAAAATTATGTCAGGCAAGACTCAATAAAACCCTTGGTTTATGACGGGGTATTAAAAAATCCGACCCGTTGCAGGTGAGGATGGAGGGTCTGCTGCACGCTCCTCTAGCCATAAAAGCCATGCACCCAAGGGGGAACCTAAACCTACAGCAGCAGGGGCCCCTCAGAGAGGAGGAACGATGTGGCAAATGCTCCGAAAACCCAGTAGGGACAGAAAACAAGAGGACACCATAAACACGAAAGTTGTTGTTGGTGGTGTGTGTATTTCGGCGAACAATATTTCAAGTGCCGCGCGCTGCAACTTGCGGGGCCCCCGCAGGACGCCATTTGCATATGCTTCCCAGGTGCAAGGTTACATAAGATACCACCCCCTTTGACAAAATTTCAAAGCTCGATTACTCTGCAGCGAAAACGGTAACGGTGCCGTGGTTGGCGGGAGGCGTTCAGACCGCCTCTTCGGGGGCTTTCCGAAACATCATTTGATGGCATCATCCTGTTAGTCGTGGAATAGTAATCGGGCCTTGAAAACCGGCGCAGGGGGAGAGGCATCGTGCAACCATCACTCGGTTGTACTTGAAAAGTACTTGGCAGCAGCACCTCGTGGTATCGCAGCTGTGACCACCGTCATAGATGTGCAGATGTGACATGGTAGAAGTTCAATAGACGTAAGCGTTTCCGGCTTTGGCGCTGACACTCGCTATCGCAAGAAGTGCTAATACGCAGTCGATGTTCTCGAGCAAAGCGTGGTTGACACGTTGAGACCACGCTGGCTCGTGAGGGCTTTCTGGACGTGCGGACCAGCCGCGGTTTTCGAGGGCACAAGTGAGTACCGGTGGGGTCTTACGACAACAGCACCAACAATGACTAGAGACGTATGGCCGAAAGCTTCACAGCGGCAGCGCTTCGCTGCAAACGAGACAACCTATCTCCCTCCCTCTCGCTACTCGAGGCTGACCTGTAGATCACCCATTCCCGGCGACGTTGCGCCGCCTCCTCCTCGGCTAGGTGGGCCGCTCGCGAAGTTGGTGGATCCCTCGAAGGTCGAAGTGTCCGACGAGAACGTCGGCTCCGGCGTGGGCTCCGGCTCCGGCTCCTTCTTCCCTCTGAACCAGCTCATGCTTTCGTGTGTGGTGGTGAAGGTCTAAGCAAGCGTCAGAATGGGTCAAGTGTGTGCTAAACAACGTCCTTTGCCCTCTCCAGGCAAGATCTCCGTAGATCTTGATGCATCGACGTAACCCCCCTCCCACCAACTCCTTGTTGTTGCTCATCGTCTCATCTCACACATGCACTGCACTGACTGCGCTTCGTTGGCCCGTGCGTACTAGAGAGGCGCGACAAGCACCGGAGAGCTGGCGAAATAGCAGATTCTGGGGGAAGGCGTGCGGGTTCTCTCAATCTATCCTCTGGTGAGCTGTCTACCCCCCGAACTCTTCCTTCTCGTCTTCGGAAATCGAAACGCATCTCTGCTGCTGGTGCTGCTGTCTCTCAGATCACAACGGCTTGGGGGGCTTGAGTTTGACCCGCAGCACCACCGTGGTGGACACCACACCACGGCGGTATGCAAGGCAGCTTGCTCTAGATTCACGCAACGGTGCTCCGCTCGTTGTAGCGTGGAGTGAGGGGGGCAGCAGAAGGTTGTAGCAGACCAAATGAACGAAGAGTGTTTCTTTCGCCAAAACCAAATCGTCGTTTACGACGGCGGCGGCGATAGAGTTCAGCAGGCAGCCAGTGCCCACGTTATGAAGTCATTATGCGAGACAGTCAACTTGGCACGCGACTCTCTTGCTCGCTACAAAAGTCAGAAGGTCACCCCAACCTTGTCGTGGCACGATGCAAGTTCTCTGCAGATACATTCAATACAGCTCTCTTCTTTGCTCGGCCCCTTCCTCTCGCTTGTAGTACCTAATTCCTGTAGCATCCGGCCGAGGCACCAAGTGAGTTTGTCATGGGCGACAGCATGGACGAGGAGCTAGAACGCGGTGGCGTGTCCATCGCGAGTGCTCCCGGGCAACTTCCGTTCTCGAACGGCTACCAACACCCTCAGCAGCAACAGATCGCCGCCCAGGTGGAAGCTGCGGTGGCGACAAACCATCAGAGACATCAGCAGCAGCAGCAGCAGCAGCAGCAGCAGCAGCCGATGGCAGGGTGGCCGAGGAAGCGCGAAAGAGCCGGCGAGGAAAACAGCAGTATGGATAGCTTCATCCCGATGATGAGCGCTTCCGGTGCCCTGGGGAGAGAGTCCCCCGACTCGGAGATGTCTTCATCTTCCGGCAGCGGCGGCTCGGACCGCTCCATAAACCGTGGGATCAAGAGGATGAGGCTCAACAACCAGCAGCAGCAGCAGCACCCCGACTGCCTCCACCAACAGGAGCAACAGCAGCAGCAACAGCAGCCGCACCAAGGACACCACCCGCTGTCCGCCTTCGACCGCTTCTCCCCTTCCTCCTCAGCCGCCACGGGCGTTCTCGCCACCGCTACGCTGCACCACCCCCGCCCCCTAACGCTAGGCCGAGCGGCCTCCTCCGCCAGCACCCACGACGCCCCCCCGACCCAGGCGGTACAGAGAAGCTCCGGCGGCGGCACCCTGCCCCCCGTGAGTCGAACCCCCTCCGGACAACAACAACGATCCCAGTCGTTCGACTCCTGCGTAGCGTTCCCTCCGTTCCCTCCCCGACCCCCCGCGCAGGCCAGGTACGTCCGGGGCATCCGCGTGGAGGCCGATGCCCCCTCGGACGTCGACTACTCCAACGTCAACCACGCGCTGCGGCAGCTACACATGGAGAGGAGGATGATGGCCGCGGCAAGGGGGGAGGGCAGGCAGCAGCAGCCGCCGCCGCCGTCGGCCGGGGGCGGGGGTGGGAGTGCGGCTTCGGGGGTTCCCGCCCCCGGCGGGGGGTGGGCGGGCGGCGCGCCTGTTCGATGATAAGAGGGGTAGGGTTGCTGGCCCGATGTGTGAGTTTCGTATTTTTTTCACATGGGGTGTTTTCGGGGGCGCTATTGCAGAGATGGTGGGGTAGAGGTAAGGTAGCTAGCTTTAGGAGCACTATTTTTTGTGGAGAGCTGCGACACTCTTCTTTTCTCTTGTGGCCAATGTATGCATCATTCGCAGAAGAATACCTCCGCGGGTCTCCCAGGGTGGTTGGTGGCTGGCACCGCAGGATTGGCATGAAGGGCCGGCTGCCTCGATAAAACTCGGAGGGCGGCCCGTTATCGTTGTGGAATGATTGAAAGGTCTGCACCAGAACATGCTTGCAGGCTTGTTGGGCCGCACTGCTTCCTTAGTGTGTTTGGGTGTGGGTATTGTGTTGGTGTACATATTGGTGTTGTTGGAACTGCGCTACTGCGGTTGTGTGTGATACTACTGTCCTTGCTGTGAATTGTTCGTTGCTCGGGGTGGCATTCTCCAGTTTCACTTTGTCCCCTCCCCCTTTTCGTGCTGCATACGCTGCCGCTACACCGGCTTGCCATTGCTGGTGTTGATGAGTCAATGGTTGTTTGTGGTTCCCGTTTTTTTTGTATATTACCACGGTCTGATTTGCGGCCGAGAGGTCATGCTACTCTCCTTCTATCTCAATTTATTTGTTTTTTAGTGTGTGCCAGCTAGTCAGAGGCTGATAACGGGTGGCAGCAGCCCTCATCATGTCGGCTCTGGAGGCGGTTGTGACAAAAGGAGCTGTGCCACCCTTTGAGCTATTCCTGCCTTATATTAGGATGGGTAGACTCTCGAACAGCCCAGAATTGGTCGTGGGGGGTGGTGGCAGTCGGAGCTATGGTTCAGCGCGCCAACCAATCGTGAGAGGTTGTAGTGGGGTGAGAATTGTACAATGGTGAGTGGGAGGGGTTGGGCGTGTCCCTGAGGGGGTTGGAGATAGTTACGTTGTTGGCGAGCGCCTTGTCAGCGCGACGAATGCGTCAAATCGAATGGATTATAGTTCGTGCGGTGGGTCTTCGTCTGTGGTGATGATGGTGCTGGTGCTACCAAAAAAAAGGTGGTTCATGAGGTTTTTACGTTGGCGGTCGATATATTCAACGCTTAACGGCAAGCTTGTCAGTCGTCAGGACCGCAATCGGTGTCGTACTCATGCGGCGCGATTGCCGTTGTTGTCTTATCGCGGCGGAGGGTGGGGTTTCAATGAGGAGTGACAACGTTGAGACGTTTTTTGCGGGTGAGGGCTGCATGTGGCAGCAGGTGGTTAAACTCGATTGGTGGTTGACTGTGATAGCTTCAGAGCCGTGCGTACATGCGCTTCTGCCATGTGATGATGAGTTTTCACAGTTCGGTACTATTACGTAAACCACTGTATTCAAGGTTCACATTTTTTATTGGTTGAGGTTCGCTGGGCTCTCATGTGAGCTGTGTGCAAGCCGTTAAACTTCGGGACCGTTACATCTGGCAGCTGGCACGCTTTCATTTTCATTTTGCACCGCCCCTGGAGGACACTATACTCAATGCTCTCATGAACCCACTCCGGAGAGATCCCTTTGACGTACAACACATCAACCGGGCGCCCCGGTGGACTAGTGGGTAATCTCGCAGCCTGCTGAGGGCCAGGTCATGGGTTCGAGTCCCGGCAGAGTGACTTTTTTTCTCACTAAATAAATCCTGGTCCAGGATGAAAGCGGCGCGTTGCAAAGCTCGTTGTTGTATACCATGACCGCCTTCGTAAGTCGCGAGGGAAGGGATTGCTGTACTCTTCTCGTGATAAAAATACCTCAGGCAGGAACCGCAAGAGGGGGTCCAGCCTCCCCCTCCTATGTGACCCCGGTTGGGTAGTCCAGCTAGTAGAAGTGGAGGATAGGGGCCAGAGGGGCAGACGACAGATCCGATGATGGGAGCAAAAAAAAAAAATCGTTCGTATGGGTTTGACCCATTCTCTATATAGGCTTGCATGCATGTGCTGGTATGTTTCTGGCTTTTTGCCCGATCACTGAAAACAAGGAAACGTCCGGCCTTCACCCGCCTTGCCCACGTGCGTTGTGCGTGTTGGGCTTCGTCCTGTCTGCTCTGGCGCCAGTCTACACCTTCCGGTATACAGCAGTTAGCGCCAGAATTTATAAAACGTCGATTTGGGGACAAGGCTTTTTCATCACCACCGTCGAGCGTACAGGCCCTTCATTATATAGAGTTTAGTGTAGGGTCCAAGACTAGTATTGTGTGTTTGGTGTCTTGTTTGCTGTATCGCCAATATCTGAGCCTGTGTTTCTTGAAGACTTGTTCCTTCATCGTGGGCGCTAACTACTGTATAGATATCGACGCATCTGGACGGCGTCAAGCTGCGCTGTCTAATTAGTATAGTGGTCAGTACACCACATTGTGGCTGTGGAAACCCGAGTTCGATTCTCGGATTGGACAATAAGCTTGAGATGTAATATTTTTATCCCTTTTGATACATACCATAATTTTGGATGTGATTGGGCGTCATTGATTCCTTTCTTTGTTTTTTCTTGGCGTCGCGTGCCTCGACGGCATCGTGCTGGTAACTCTCGCTCCAAATCTCCGAAATATCCGAGTCTCCGAGGAGGAAGATACACTCCGGAACTTTTGTTGTTTTTTTCACCTTTCCCCTTGTTGTGCTTGCCTTAGATTTCAACCGTCCCATCCCTCTTTTACTACACTGTATCATTAATGCTCACGACCTTCCACGTGCACCACGGAATTGCAAGTTGTTCACCCACAACCTACCGCTACAAGTAGGTTACGAGGTTGACCGTGCAGGCCACCGGGCGAAGGGCACCTGCGTATGTCTGAGTAATGAGCCCTTTCTTCTATGTCTCAAGCTAGTTTGTGACGTGAGTCGTTCGGGTTCTCAACATACGCCCCTTTTCTCAGCTATCTCCCTTTCTTGTAGCCACAATCGCGTGCGCTGGGTCTATTGTAGCCACCCCATCCTCTACCCTCATTGGCTATTCTGTTACCCAAAGGCACTTCCCCTCTACAACATACAGATGCTTTTTGCGCATCACATATTCACATCACATTCAATACCTCAGAGACACACGTCACAAGAATATCAAGGAACTACTTCCAGGGTGCAGCCACGGTTTGCACGGGACTCGCACTGACTGGCCAAAACATTAGTAGACTATAACGTAGAACAAAGTTTCACGACACACAGCCCCTCTTGCGCTCGAGCCACCCGGGCGCTTCCCCTGCGAGAACTGTTTGCAATTCGTGCTTTCTTCCTGCATCATGTGGACTGACGTGATAGAAAAGAAAACACTGTTAAATTCACGGCACCCCCCCCACACACACCGACTGCATGTGCCTCGGTTAGTACTCTATTCAACTGACACACAGGAGGCGTAAGAACTTGTACACAATCGCGCAACGTGTGCCTCATACACCCCCTTCTCTGATGGGTGCAAGAGGTGCTACATCTAGTCGTTCGGCAAACCGCGCTCGAGAATACTGAGTGAGGCAGAAAACAAAGGGCTACGAGTTATGGAAGTACAACATATCCTACTGCAAGCAGTACACGTGCCGAGCGTGTCTAGCGTGTGGAGACATCACCACTATCTGGCCTCTTCTTCTGCCTACATAGAGAAGACCCCGATATTGCACGCGGACAAGCTATGCACTACCACACACGTATGTTCAAAACGAGATCATTTGGATCTTTGTGACGGATAGTGCAGGCTACAGTACACGTCTAGAACCCGGCGATGCTCGCAAGAGCATCTTCTCCGTTCCCTTCTTGGAGTCTAAACCCAGGAGGACGAAAAGAAGATAAATAAAAATGAAATTACGTACGTGTATGACAAACACCAAGAGGGCAGAGTTGGGAACCAAGCCGCGACCGTTTCCAACCACCCCAAAACAAACACGCACATTGGACCCCCCCCCCCCCCCCCCCCCC